ACAACATCTGCACTCTCACGTTCGTACCGCCTGCTATCAAAGAAAGAAACCTACAGGGTGTGTTACTGGAAGACAGACGAAAAATTTCTCGACTATGCATGATGTACAAAATTACTCATATACCGGTGGACGTGCCAACTACTAAGTACCTAATACCAGCCCAGAAAAGAACAAGAAGCAGTCATGCCTTCAAGTACCAGAGTTATCAACCAAGAATTAGTTATTTTTGTGTCAATAAGGTTCTCTCTATCCATGAAAGATCTGTGTGGGGTGCGTGTGTCCGTACAATAATTGGTGCCACCATGATCAAATTATGAGAGAGCCATCTCCTGCCTTGCACAAACAGCAGAATTTGCCATTGTGAAAGACTGGCTGCTGCCATGAATATTAATTTTTCATCACTTACATTGAAGCCCCTTACTAAAGAAACGTTCGTCAGAGGTTTTTTTTTTTCTTTTGTTGTTGTTGTCAAACATGTTTCTTCAACACGATGCAACATGCCCTGTCAGCGACTCTATTGTGGAAGAGAGAGAGAGAAAGAAGGAAAGAGAGGGGGAAAGAGGGAGAGAGAGACTGAGAGAGAGAGCGACAGAGTGTGTGTGTCTGTGTGTGTGTGTGTGTGTTTGAGAGAGAGAGAGTGTGTGTGTGTGTGTGTGTCTGTGTGTGTGAGTGTGTGTAAGAGAGAGAGAGAGAGAAAATGGATGAATAGTAAGTTAGACACGAAAATATGTGGCGTGACACTGGCACGGTAGTTCCACGTGCTGAGCACAATTACAAGGAAATTAACACAGGTCTCTATAACAAGTAATCCCCGAGCATTGTAACCGACTGCATTGGACATGAATATTTTAGATGTCTTTACAGAACTCTAAGACCAGGGATTTCGCCAGCGTGCAGGTGTGTCTGTTTTTCTGCATGTTTATCAGCGCATGGTAACAGTGAGGAGGCCGTTCACACTACTGACTCACTTTCTGGGAGGGGGGATGTGATGCTCGGCGTGTTTTTAGTGTAATAACCTGGTTCGTTAGTTGAGGTTATACTTACACGTATACCTGCCTTTTATATATACCATCTATTCTGTATTATAAATCATTTATATCTATTCTGTATTATAAATCATATATATCAAATGCCTTTAATACGGGGTTTAAAAGTAACTGATGAAAAATGAAACATCCATGACAGAAGCCAGCCTTTCACAATGGCAATATGGCAATGCCTGTTGCTCGTACAAAGCATAATTTGATAGTATTGAAGCATAGTATCATAATTTGATCATGATGGCACCAGTTAGTGTACGGACACACAGGTGGATCTTCGTTTCTACCATGGAGACCAATTTGTAACACAATTTTTAAGCATGGATGGGTCTGGTGGAGACACAATGGTTGCCAAGGCAACGCCACAGTGACGCATACGAAGCATACTGCCTCATGAAATATTCAAATGCCATTACCTCTATTGGGTCCTACCGTCCGCATTGTTGTTTCTCTACTGCTATTGTTATTGCGAATTCCGATGTCCTTTGAACAGAAGGACGGTGCAGTCAGACCAGTGAAGCGGGGGCTCAGCCATTGTTGGAAGGATCCAGCTAAGTGCCTGCACACTAATTTGTGTCATCATATGATCAAATCATCCGCACCGTGACGACATACCTTCCAACAGATCGCGCGTGAGGTTGCCACATGATATAAAGACCAGCCCGTCCATGTCCACTTTTAAAATGAGATGTAAAAATTGGTCTGACCTCTGACCTCTCCATGCCAACAATTTGGACTGGACAATGACTGAACTGGACAATTTGTACTTTTTGTTATTATCATTATTTTCTAATGTTATTGGTTACTTACTGTTTTTTCTTTATTATTATTGCCATTATCATTATAATTTATTGTATCCCAGTTTTACTGTGTGTATGTGACTGTTGTGTTTTGTTGTGTAAAACAGGGCGCCATTGAAAAGGAGTGCAATCACTTAATGGGCCACCCTGTATACAAATGACGGAAAATAAATAAAAATAAATAAATAAAATGAGAGAACAACATCTACACCCTCACGTCCGTACCGCCTGCTATCAAAGAAAGAAACCTACAGGGTGTGTTACTGGAAGACAGGCGAAAAATTTCTCCACTATGCATGATGTACAAAATTACTCATATACTGGTGGACGTGCCAACTACTAAGTACCTAATACCAGCCCAGAAAAGAACAAGCTTGCAATAAGCAGTCATGCCTTCAAGTACCAGAGTTATCAACCAAGAATTAGTTATTGTTGTGTCAATAAGGTTCTCTATCCATGAAAGATCTGTGTGTGGTGCGTGTGTCCGTACAATAATTGGTGCCACCATGATCAAATTATGATAGAGAGCCATCTCCTGCCTTGCACAAACAGCAGAAATTGCCATTGTGACAGGCTGGCTGCTGCCATGAATATTTATTTTTTCATCACTTAATTCTAAGCCCCTTATTAAAGATATTTTCGTCACAGTTTTATTTTTGTTGTTGTTGAAGCATGTTTCTTCAACACGATGCAACATGCCCTGTCAGCGACTCTATTGTGGAAAAGAAAGAGAGAGAAAGAAGGAAAGAGAGGGGGAGAGAGGGAGAGAGAGACTGAGAGAGCGAGAGCGACAGAGTGTGTGTGTGTGTGTGTGTGTGTGTTTGAGAGAGAAAGAGAGTGTGTGTGTGTGTGTGTGTGTGTGTGTGTGTGTGTGTATGTGTGTGTATGTGTTTGTGTGTGTGTGTGTGTCGTGTGTCGTGTGTGTGAGTGTGTGTAAGAGAGAGAGGGAAAGAGAGAGAAAATGGATGAATAGTAAGTTAGACACGAAGATAGAGATAAAACGTATGTGGCGTGACACCGGCACGGTAGTTCCACGTGCTGAGCACAATTACAAGGAAATTAACACAGGTCTCTATAACAAGTAATCCCCGAGCATTGTAACCGACTGCATTGGACATGAATATTTTAGATGTCTTTACAGAACTCTAAGACCAGGGATTACGCCAGTGTGCAGGTGTGTCTGTTTTTCTGCATGTTTATCAGCGCATGGTAACAGTGAGGAGGCCGTTCACACTACTGACTCACTTTATGGGAGGGGGGGGATGTGATGCTCGGCGTGTTTTTAGTGTAATAACCTGGTTCGTTAGTTGAGGTTATACTTATACGTATGCCTGTCTTTTATATATACCATCTATTCTGTATTATAAATCATTTATATCTTTTCTGTATTATATATCATACATACAAAAGTGTTAACTAACTAACATAAAAAAAGGCCAGTTATAACAGAATATGGGCATGGGGCAAACAATGTAACAGGTTACTGGAGTGGTTTAACAGTTCCATAGAAGAAAATAAAATACTAGCTAAACAGTTTCAGGTTAAAATGAGATGTAAAAATTGGCCTGACCTCTGACCTCACCATACCAACAACTTGGACTGGACAATGACTGGACTGGACAATTTGTACTTTTTGTTATTATCATTATTTTCTAATGTTATTGGTTAGTTACTGTTTTTTCTTTATTATTATTGCCATCATCATTATAATTTATTGTATCCCAGTTTTACTGTGTGTATGTGACTGTTGTGTTTTGTTGTGTAAAACAGGGCGCCATTGAAAAGAAGTGCAATCACTTAATGGGCCACCCTGTATAAAAATGACGGAAAATAAATAAAAATTAATAAACAAAATGAGAGAACAACATCTACACCCTCACGTTTGTAAGGCCTGCTGACAAAGAAACCTACAGACAGACGAAAAATTTCTCGACTATGCATGATATACAAAACGACTAATAAACTGGTGGACGTACAAACTACTAAGTACCTAATACCAGCCCAGATAAAAAGTAGCCATGCCCTCAAGTACCAGAGTTATCAACCAAGAATTAGTTATTGTTGTGTCAATAAAGTTCTCTATCTATGAAAGATATGTATGGGGTGCGTATCCGTACACTCAAATTATGATAGAGAGTCATCTCCTGCCTTGCACAAACAGCAGAAATTGCCATTGTGACAGGCTGGCTGCTGCCATGAATATTTATTTTTTCATCACTTAATTCTAAGCCCTTATTAAAGATATTTTCGTCAGAGTTTTTTCTTTTGTTGTTGTTGTCGAAGCATGTTTCTTCAACACGATGCAACATGCCCTGTCAGCGACTCTATTTTGGAAGAGAAAGAGAGAGAAAGAAGGAAAGAAAGAGAGGGGGAAAGAGGGAGAGAGACTGAGAGAGAGAGAGCGACAGAGTGTGTGTGTGTGTGTGTGTGTGTGTGTTGTGTGTGTTTGAGAGAGAGAGAGAGAGAGAGTGTGCGCGTGTGTGTGTGTGTGTGTGTGTGTGTGTGTGTGTGTGAGAGAGAGAAAGAGAGAGAGAATGGATGAATAGTAAGTTAGACACGAAGATAGAGATAAAACGTATGTGGCGTGACACCGGCACGGTAGTTCCACGTGCTGAGCACAATTACAAGGAAATTAACACAGGTCTCTATAACAAGTAATCCCCGAGCATTGTAACCGACTGCATTGGACATGAATATTTTAGATGTCTTTACAGAACTCTAAGACCAGGGATTACGCCAGTGTGCAGGTGTGTCTGTTTTTCTGCATGTTTATCAGCGCATGGTAACAGTGAGGAGGCCGTTCACACTACTGACTCACTTTATGGGAGGGGGGATGTGATGCTCGGCGTGTTTTTAGTGTAATAACCTGGTTCGTCAGTTGAGGTTATACTTACACGTATCCCTGCCTTTTTATATATACCATTTATTCTGTATTATGAATCATTGTTGATTAGGTTACTTCGATAACAGGTGATGTCGTTTAAAAGCTCACTCCTACCCATGGTCGTAATGGTATAGCCCTGGCAGGCTTGCTGTCAAATAGTTCATCTCCCGTCAGCCTTCTCAGTCGCAGTTGAGCTGAGAAGCGGTGCTTGACTTTTGGAAGCACCACTTTTGGCTTCAAAACCCGACTCAACCTGACCATTTGGTCACCTGTTTGCATTTTGAACTTACGATTTAAACCAACGAATTCCAAAACCGCTAAGTTAGACCAGCGGTGCTGTTGGTTGTACTTTAGGTACCGTGACCTGACCGAGATACTCTGGGAGAAATGGGCGGGACGAGCATGGAAATTCACCGGCTGCTGTGCTGCGTCATCGCGATCACCTGCGTCTGGCTGGTCAATGCCGAGCAAGGTGAGGAACTGGTTACTCCGTGATCACTTGGACTACTCCAAGCAGATGTTTGTTAGGATTCTACTTCTTTTTGACGTGTTTTAGGCGTTTTTATCGGGCTTTATTTGGTACTGGCATCTATTTTTACGCCGGCTGAACGACGGGTGGCAAATGGCAACCGCCCTTCCAACGCCGCGGCTTCTTAACGCCAAAAAGCAGTTACTGAAGCAACTGGATATAATTTTGGAAACGGTCAGATGTTTCAGCTAGCATCCACTAGCTTTCGTCAGGAGAAATGCAAGTTTCTAAGCACAAACAATTGATTTTTTGCATATAAGTGAAGACAATTTTTGGAAGTCCAAAAAGAAACAAAAGTTAGACATGTGAAGACAAGATGATGCAAATTAGTCAAAAAGCCCTTATTGTGCAGAACAGTTAAACAGTTAAACCTGTCCTGAGTACATAGGCAGGTAGGCCATGCAAAATGTAAACTGTTGACGACATCAAATATGTCAATTCCAAACCATCACTTTAGGCCATGTTGATTTGATTATATGGATGATGTCCGCCCGCGCATAAAAAACAAGGAAAATCTAACAACAAGGAGATTTTATACCTCCGGGTTATTTATTGTATTTTTATATGTTTTTTGTTATGTGTAGTTGACGGTGTTAAATTTGATGTGTTAGATTTAGCGTTCCGGGTTGTGTTAGGTGTTGGATATAAATTTTGGCACATGTTCTGTGCCCTGATACCGTCCAGTCATTTTATTACGAATAACGTACTCACCAGTATTCATCATAACAAACCCCGTATAATACTGGTAACATCAACATCTACACAAAATTTTAAAAAGTTACACAACTCGGTTGGCAAGATGTGTAGGATGAATGGCTGATGATACCTAGGGTAAACAAGGGTTTACAAGTTGTGTGGGTTTAATGTAAGTAATGTACGCACGTATACAATTTTTTTATATTTGCATAAATATTGCGTATATTTATGAAGTATATTTGCATATATGGGAAGATACCCGTAAACGCGCGCACGGAAACCATTTTCTTTATCTAAAAATATGCGCTAAAACGCTGTTTTCCACGATTGCATAGCCACATTTAGTGAAAATAAATTCAACGAATCTTTGGGGAGAATATATATATATATGTATTTGCGGATTTATAGGGTTTTTCCACATAATTTTACGTTCGTTCAACCCGGACGTGTGTACACCCCTCTGTCAGACGCCTAGAAAAAATGGAACAACCCCAAAATACCTAAACAACAGCCAAGGCAAGCCTGCAAAACCATTTTCACGCTGAAAGGGGTGTCCGGGGTCGCCAAAAGGTTTCATTTTCACGCACGAAAACACATATACAATAAAAACAAAAGAACGTTAATCATGCGCAGCCTAATCGCAAAACGTATGCCGATTCCCCAAAATATTCGCCCAACCGCGATAATCAACTGCGAACATGAAAACTGTGAACTCTTACAATATCCTTCCGCGGAAGGATATATCTCCTTCCCCGGAGGTAACAATATCTGATGCCTACCTGTACCTAACCTGCACTGGCCCATGTATATTGACTCTGTCGGTATTTTCTGTCCTCCCCACAGGCTGTCCGAAAGCAGGCTACGTTTCTTTTAGCGGAAATTGTTTCAAGCTCTTTGCCGAGTCGCAGACCTACAGCGAGGCCAAGCAGACGTGCGCCGCGGACAGGGCGGTGTTAGCCATGCCGAAAGACAGCGCGACCAACTCTTTCCTCGCCGGTATGGGAACTGCTGTACGGTGGATTGGGATTTCGGACGCCCAGATGGAGGGCCAGTGGGTATTTGCGGACGGCAAAAACCTGCAGTCAGCTGACTATTCCAACTGGGTTCCAGGTCAACCAGACAATGATGGATCTGGAGAAGACTGTGGCGCAATTAGGAGTGACGGACTGTGGGGGGATGTCCCATGTCAAGACTCCAGGCCATTCCTCTGCCAACTAACACCAGGTATGCTTTCTGCATACTTACTTTATGGTTGTTATCATGATGTCATGTTAGATTCTGTCGTATTTCGGTGTGTCTGAAATTCTCGTTCTCCCCACAGCGTGTCGGATATCAGACTCCTACGTTAACGTCAGGGGAACCTGCTACAAGTACTTTGCTGAGCTAAAGACGTACGATGAAGCCCAACAGACGTGTGCCGCGGACGGGGCGGTGTTAGCCATGCCGAAAGACAGCGCGACCAACTCTTTTCTTGCCGGTATGGGAACTGCTGGACGGTGGATTGGGATTGCTGAAGCCCAAAAGGAGGGTCAGTGGGTATTTGTGGACGGCCAAGCCCCGCAGTCAGCCGTCTATTCTAACTGGAGACCAGGTCAACCCGACAATTATAATGGACAAGACTGTGGCGTAATTTGGAGTGACGGAACGTGGAATGATGGTCCATGTCACGACTCCAAGCCATTCCTCTGTCAATTACAACCAGGTATGCTTTCTGATTACTTATAATTGACTTTATTTTATTTTATTCTATTTTATTTCATTTCATTTCATTTCATTTTATTTAATTTTATCTTTTTTTATCTTTTTTTTATCACCTACATTGTTGTATAGCACTAGTTTGTTTATTAGTCATTCACGGCACAACCACCACCGGCTGCACCTGGGCGAGCACCTCTCTCTCTCTCTTTTTTTCTTGAGCAGAATGTCCCTTGTGGGACTTGAGCTCAGTACTGTAAAATATCAGACAAGAAGATAAGATGCTTGGGGTTTTGAACCACCAGAACCACAGTTATTTCTTTCTATTCATTTCTGTTAACATCTTTTAGTACCAGTCGACAGCATTATCTGTTTCAGTTAGGCGTGTGAACTCCCACAGAGATGTGTGCAGGTGACTGACTTTGTCCCAGATTCAAGCTATAAACCGCTTGTAAAAGCCTTAGCGTCTGTATGATTCACAGTGGTGTTAATGGACAACAGGGAGGGGCAACAACACAGATTTTCAAAAGAAATGCTCCTCCCTATTTCAATGTCCGAAAATCCTTCGGTAACTAATTATAATGAATAGTTTCCAGAGCTTCCACTAGACTTCTTTTGCAGGCTGAATAAATCGTAGAAATCGGCCTAAAAAGGGTATTTATTGGTGAGAGAAGGTGGCCGACCATAGCCGACGATGGCCGGCTGACTAAAATATAGAAAGAAATAACTGTGACATTAGCTAATGGACACTCCTCTGGGCAATGAATACTACCTTGCCACCGTATGATCTGCTTGGATATTACCAGATGCCACCAAACTGAAATCTCCGTGTGCTATTGATATTTTGCAGTTCCCCCAGTAGCTGTTTGGCCCTTGGACGCGAAGTATGGAGCATCAGACGCGACAGGAAACGGAAATGACGGGACAGCAACAGGAACCCAGTTAGCCCCTGGTCCGTACGGAAACGCAGACGGCGCTTTCCTGTTTTCGGGAGCTTCAAATTCGTACGTCCACATTCCAAACGATGGCCAGTTAGATGTGCAGTACTCCTACACCATCCTGGCCCACATATATCCTACTGGACAGGCCGGGCCAATCTTCCGCTACGCTGGGAATCCCACAGCCGTAGATTTTTGGCAGGACGCTACATATAACCTTGTAATGTGGTAAGTTTACTTACTTAATATTCGCCTTCTTGGAAGAATGGTAATCCGGTAATCGATTAAAATGGAGACCTTTATTGCACAGATATACCCACTGGGTTAACATAGTAAGAACAGATATGTTTCATAATGGAAGGTTTTACTGAGCGAGCCAAACTTAATTTAAACAATGATAAAATCAACGTTTCCCTACAGACAAATTCCAATTACTAATGAGCTACTAATGAACCTTTGATCCGAAAACATGCCAGTTCGTATCTTTTCACCATCACAGAGAATCGATAAGAAATCGCATTTCCTGTATAGACTATAGTGCTAATGATATAATAATCACGTATGTGTGTTACACCGAATAGCTATACAGATACAGATCATAAGCCATTCTTTACTGTGACCTGTACCTGACCCTGTGGATATGAATGTGCAATAAAGGTCTTCATTCCTTTATTTTGATTCTTGTACCTACAAGTAGTAGCTACAAATGCCATTGAACATATTTGTTGCAAAAAATGTTGTAGACCCTACTTACATGAAAGAGTGATTTGCAGTGATGACGATTTCGTGTTCTCTTCCGTTTGTTTGACAAGCGAAAGATGTCAGAGACTTTCAGTAAGTAAGTAAGAGGCTTTCTGTTGTAGGCCGAATGGAAGAGATGGACAACCTGCACCTACCATCCAAGCCACTGTGCTAGAACAGAACGCCTGGAACTTCGTGGGTGGAACCTACGACAATACCACAGGAGTGGGATCCATCTGGGAAAACGGCGAACGGGTTGGACAGGCAGAGGTTGGATTCTCGTCAGTCGCAACCCAATACGACGTCCGGGTGGCCAAGGCAGACAGTAACAGTCCGATTTTCAAGGGTCGAATCGCCTGTCTTCAGCTGTACGACTACGCCTTGACAAGAGACGAGATTCTAGCAGCACGGTATATGTGTAGAGGTGGGTCCAATGTCCAACACATCTACAACATTTTTGAAAAAAAGAAAGAATTGAGTGCTAGTACAACTATTGTACTAAAAAAAAGTAAAAAGTAGTTTCATCAGGTTGGTAAATTTATTCAATATAGTTTTCACTGGTGCACAACCTTATTTTTGACTTTTGATATTTACTTTCTCGTGACTTTTCTACTGAACATGCCGTGTTCATGATTTGTGACGAAACAGGGATCTAGCTTCAAATAGCGTTGTTTTGTCTACAAGGTAGAGAGATGGTATGTAAGATGCTCTTTCTCTTCTAGAAAAAAATATCTACCATAAATTCTTCTCATGTATTCATTGCAGACGAATGTGCAACAGACAGTGGAGGGTGTGACCAGATCTGCTCCGACCTCCTGGGAAGTTACAACTGTTCCTGCCGACAGGGCTTCGTGTTGATGGCAGATGGCCACGGCTGTGAAGGTGCGATGTTGGATCATGATTTGTATTGCAAGTGGTTGTGTAGCTGAACCTTTGTTCTCCCCTTTTAAAGATTCTTGACTCCAACTCACGCATTCGCCTACCCGAATAATCCTGTTTGAACCTTACAATGTTTATGTTGTTTATGAACTACTAGACATGCTTTTGCAGATATTAACGAATGTGCAACAGACAGTGGAGGGTGTGACCAGATCTGCACCAACTTCCTGGGAAGTTACCACTGTTCCTGCCGACAGGGTTTTGTGTTGATGGAAGACGGTCATAATTGTAAAGGCGAGGAGCTTTCCATATGTTGCAATTCTTTTTCACATGAAGTTACCAATGACTTTCTCTTTGGCAATCTTACTCTCACTTAAAGTTGCAAATGTGGGAGTTCAAGAGAGATCTTCACGTCTTCGCCTATATGAAAAGAAGCAAGTGGTAAAAAACTCCATCATCAGCAATGTTGGCCAATTGGTGACTTTTATTTTTCAGTGTGCGGCCACTGCCAGGGCGGGGACGTCAAC